TAGTGGTGAGTCAGTGGTAGTGTTTATATAGTTTGGTAGTGGTGAGTCAGTGGTAGTGTTTATATAGTTTGGTAGTGATGAGTCAGTGGTAGTGTTTATATAGTTTGGTAGGTGTGAGTCAGTGGTAGTGTTTATATAGTTTGGTAGTGGTGAGTCAGTGGTAGTGTTTATATACTTTGGTAGTGGTGAGACAGTGGTAGTGTTTATATAGTAGTTTGGTAGTGGTGAGACAGCGGTAGTGTTTATATAGTAGTTTGGTAGTGGTGAGACAGTGGTAGTGTTTATATAGTAGTTTGGTAGTGGTGAGTCAGTGGTAGTGTTTATATAGTAGTTTGGTAGTGGTGAGTCTGTGGTAGTGTTTATATAGTTTGGTAGTGCGGTGACAGTGGTAGTGTTTATATAGTTTGGTAGTGATGAGACAGTGGTAGTGTTTATATAGTTTGGTAGTGATGAGACAGTGGTAGTGTTTATATAGTTTGGTAGTGATGAGACAGTGGTAGTGTTTATATAGTTTGGTAGTGATGAGACAGTGGTAGTGTTTATATAGTTTGGTAGTGGAGAGACAGTGGAAGTGTTTATATAGTTTGGTAGTGATGAGACAGTGGTAGTGTTTATATAGTTTGGTAGTGCGGTGACAGTGGTAGTGTTTATATAGTTTGGTAGTGATGAGACAGTGGTAGTGTTTATATAGTTTGGTAGTGATGAGACAGTGGTAGTGTTTATATAGTTTGGTAGTGATGAGACAGTGGTAGTGTTTATATAGTTTGGTAGTGATGAGACAGTGGTAGTGTTTATATAGTTTGGTAGTGGTGAGACAGTGGTAGTGTTTATATAGTTTGGTAGTGCGGTGACAGTGGTAGTGTTTATATAGTTTGGTAGTGATGAGACAGTGGTAGTGTTTATATAGTTTGGTAGTGATGAGACAGTGGTAGTGTTTATATAGTTTGGTAGTGATGAGACAGTGGTAGTGTTTATATAGTTTGGTATTGATGAGACAGTGGTAGTGTTTATATAGTTTGGTAGTGGAGAGACAGTGGAAGTGTTTATATAGTTTGGTAGTGATGAGACAGTGGTAGTGTTTATATAGTTTGGTAGTGCGGTGACAGTGGTAGTGTTTATATAGTTTGGTAGAGATGAGACAGTGGTAGTGTTTATATAGTTTGGTAGTGATGAGACAGTGGTAGTGTTTATATAGTTTGGTAGGTGATGAGACAGTGGTAGTGTTTATATAGTTTGGTAGTGATGAGACAGTGGTAGTGTTTATATAGTTTGGTAGTGGTGAGACAGTGGTAGTGTTTATATAGTTTGGTAGTGGTGAGACAGTGGTAGTGTTTATATAGTTTGGTAGTGATGAGTCAGTGGTAGTGTTTATATAGTTTGGTAGTGGTGAGACAGTGGTAGTGTTTATATAGTTTGGTAGTGGTGAGACAGTGGTAGTGTTTATATAGTAGTTTGGTAGTGATGAGACAGTGGTAGGGTTTTTATAGTTTGGTATTGATAAGATAGTGGTAGTAATTATATATGGTAGTTGTGAGATATAGTCAAGGCTTTCCATTTCAATACGTTAACAGTGTGTGAATTCCTCGTTCATTAAACGAAATATACACAAAGTATACTATTTAAGTTAGAAGATGCTGGTCCTACTCCTTCAGTAAAAGCACCGATGGATCTCTCGTATACACGTTAGAGATACCTAAATTATTACGTGCAAGTAGTTCCACAATTCTTTGATGTCAGATTAATACTCGCATTTATCAATATGATGCAGTAATATGTAACTATATTTGATTCATCAGCTGTTAAGTTCCTTTTTATTGAAAGTTATTAATACACAAGGCGAGAAATCTACCATTAACAAACTCTATTTAGCCGTAATCTCAATTTAGCTTTTTTTCGCGTTGAAAATATTTCGATAAAATATGACTTCCATTATTGCAATTTACGTAAGGTAATATTTGTAATTTGCCAAAAGCTGCTAACATGTTAAGATGTAAGAAATGAAGCACAATATTTATGGTGATTTTGAAAGGATTTTATTCTAACCTCTGGTATTGTAGCTTTGGTCCTAAACAGTTCGGCTATTCGTCATATGTTATATATTACGTATGCCAGACCGCCCGTTACGCATCCTTGATACCGCCCTCTCAATATTCTGGGTTTTGTCATGCTGGAAAGCTTAAAAACTAATTTACTATAGACCAAAGAAATATATGATGTATCTACAAACAAAAAATGACTGATAAATCTAAAAACAATTCTGTCTGCATGTTCAAACGATCACTTATATTTAGCATCTGGAGAAAATAAGGTGATACTAAGGTTCATAACGTCAAACGATTTTAGATGGATGTGTTCCGCTGTTTATTTGTTTGTTCCCGATTCTATCTAGCGAACTATTTGACGAGTATTAATGTCAAATGAATTCTAAGACGAATTCAAGCCGGCTTCTTAAATATGTTTTTTGTGCAAATGTTTAAACCTGACAGCCAATTGCAGTGTTCCGTCGTCAGTCTGCAATTTATTCATTTGACCCGGTGAGGTGTTCATCAAGTCCCTACAGAGCTCTATAGCCTAGATGTCAAATGCAGACATGCCAAGCTATCACTCTATCTCCCAATTTCAACCAAACTCTACATCAAGTACGCAACCCCACTTCCAACTTCACATCCACACAAACCACCATTCCCTCAACGTCACACCATGTACACCATCTTAACCAAACTCTACATCAAGAACGGGGTCACACTCCCAACTTCGCATCCACACAAACCACCCTTCCCCCAACGTCACGCCATGTACACCATTTCAACCAAACTCTACATCAAGTACGCAACCCCACTTCCAACTTCACATCCACACAAACCACCCTTCCCTCAACGTCACACCATGTACACCATCTTAACCAAACTCTGCATCAAGAACGGGGTCACACTCCCAACTTCACATCCACACAAACCGCCCTTCCCCCAACGTCACGCCATGTACACCATTTCAACCAAACTCTACATCAAGCACTCCGCCCCACTCCCAACTTCACATCCACACTAACAGCCCAGTATCCTAACACAAATCCTTACCCTTAAACTTCGGTCCCGGATGCCTCAAGATGTATTTTTGTCAATTTTATATTTTGAGTGATATGTATACTTTACGATCAAAATCTGTTCTAATATTCGCTGTCAGCTCTAAACGGTTATGCTACTTGAGATTTCTAATTTGATACAGACATCCTCATGTGATAACAGTGATGTAACTGCTGTCACGTTTTTACGCTCTCTCCTTGGTTATCTATTCCAGTGCTTGCAGTCATACAACTTTATAACGTTCTTGTGGACAAGTTGTCCACCAAACACACGATCATAAGAATAAAGATTTCTTAATCTATAATCTAAAAAATACAACTTCAAAACAACCTCGATGTTGGTCAGGGGACATCATTACATTCCGAAGAACTTCTGACGTCAATAGGGATAAAAATAATGTTTCATCAATAATTAGCTAAGTAAATCGCTGTGATGCAAAGGAGCTGATATCAAAATAACACGACCACTCTGACATACCACAAGTGACAGTGTAGATTGGTTACGTCGTGTCTGCTCGGTCTGTTTGATAATAGGATTCACTTCGAAAACATTTTCGTGTTAATACATTACAGTCAGTTATGTTCATAATTTTGTTTATATATAACATGTACTTTATGTTGTATATATATAACATGTACTTTATGTTGTATATATAATATGTACTTTATGTTGTATATATATAACATGTACTTTATGTTGTATATATATAACATGTACTTTATGTTGTATATATATAACATGTACTTTATGTTGTATATATATAACATGTACTTTATGTTGTATATATATAACATGTACTTTATATTGTATATATATAACATGTACTTTATGTTGTATATATATAACATGTACTTTATGTTGTATATATATAACATGTACTTTATGTTGTATATATATAACATGTACTTTATGTTGTATATATAACCTGTACTTTATGTTGTATATATAACATGTACTTTATGTTGTATATATAACATGTACTGTATGTTGTATATATAACATGTACTTTATGTTGTATATATAACATGTACTTTATGTTGTATATATAACATGTATTTTATGTTGTATATATAACATGTACTGTATGTTGTATATATATAACATGTACTGTATGTTGTATATATATAACATGTACTTTATGTTGTATATATAATATGTACTTTATGTTGTATATATATAACATATACTATATGTTGTATATATAACATGTATTTTATGTTGTATATATAACATGTACTGTATGTTGTATATATATAACATGTACTTTATGTTGTATATATGACATGTACTTTATGCTGTATATATGACATGTACTTTATGTTGTATATATGACATGTACTTTATGTTGTATATATATGTACTTTATGTTGTATATATAACCTGTACTTTATGTTGTATATATGACATGTACTTTATGTTGTATATATAACATGTACTTTATGTTGTATATATGACATGTACTTTATGTTGTATATATGACATGTATATATAACCTGTACTTTATGTTGTATATATAACCTGTACTTTATGTTGTATATATGACATGTACTTTATGTTGTATATATAACATGTACTTTATGTTGTATATATGACATGTACTTTATGTTGTATATATGACATGTACTTTATGTTGTATATATAACCTGTACTTTATGTTGTATATATAACATGTACTTTATGTTGTATATATGACATGTACTTTATGTTGTATATATGACATGTACTTTATGTTGTATATATGACATGTACTTTATGTTGAATATATAACATGTACATTCTGTTGTATATATTACATGTACTTTATGTTGTATATATATAACATGTACTTTATGTTGTATATGTAACATGTACTTTATGTTGTATATATATAACATGTACTTTATGTTGATATCTCACATGTATTTTATTTTGTTGCAGCATTTGCAGTCCGCTACATCACAAAGCGATATATCGGCGATTATGATCGAAACAAAGGTAACTTGTTTGATAACAGACAACACAGTGATAAAGTATTGTCTTTGTCTTAGTGATTGTCACACTAACACTCTTTTGTATCTGTCACCTCCTCAGACTTAACTTTGGTGACTTTCACATCCATCCGTCCGTCCATTCGTCCGTTACAGTTTCCACACTATTCCTTTTGGTATTGCCGATAAGAAAGTATGTACACAGACTAGGCCAAAATATAATCTAGAACGCCGAGAAAAGTCGGTTATCGCGAGTAAAACCCTTAGATCACGAGGATATATAGAAAAACTGAAATATGATTGAATCCTTTTAGATAATGATTCTATTTGCTTGCAGAATCAATATTATAAAGTCTAACATTCCTATTAGATATAGGTAAGAATCAATACATAAATAAACAAATACCATATCGGCTACATTAGATACAATGACAATGTCATCTACAGGAAGTGGATATCATTGCTTATCGTGGAAATGATTAAAAGTGTGACACCAGTGATATCCCTTTTTAATGTTTTATTTTCTTGATATATCACTGATATTCTGAAGTATTTTTGAACATTGAAAACTTTATTAAAGTGTAACTTGAGTACCAAGCGTCTCTCAGAGCTGTTTAGTTCGCGAGTACTGCGTAACATTGCCAAAAACAACAAAAAACACAAAACCGTTAGTTGGGAGGTTATCGAATGGCATCGAGCTTCAGTTAAAAACGGAAAGGAAAGGAATTAAACTGATAATTCATTGTATTTGTGAAATGTTAAGTTAATGTCGTGCTAATATCTTCACTTCACGAATTCTATCAGGTACGCGTACAATGTAAAGCCGATCTTCACCGGTTTCCTGAACATCTACAATGTAGATATGTTCTCCAGCGGAGTCCACTCCTCCTATGACTTCCGATGGTGTTGAACGATAGCTACAAGCTAAAACATCCCATGTCTTGGCTCTCTAGTATAACAGTCCTTGAACCATGTATTTATTTCATTGGATGTGTTAACAGATGGATTTGCTTGTCTACCACATGCACGTCAGTATAAAACTATTCCCAATGTATCTGTGTTCTCTCTGTGTCTGGTATTTAGAATATTCTCATAATATTTAATCTTACGTAAATCTATATCTATAATTGCTTTATAGGAACGTGTTAAACAATAAAAGAATGTTGTTTTTGATTACAAATAGATAAAACTGAGATTTAAGTACGAAACTCGAGATTCATAAAAACACAATCCGGATTTGAGTCTAGATAAAAAAAAGATGGATATGATAAACATGTGCATGTCGGTTTCTTTAAATAAATGTTCGTACAAACAGTCTCCGATGTCATTGTAAACAATTAGTATTGAGAGTTTAATAATAATACGGTATACTGTTAGATACTGTAGATCGGGCGTATTGTTAAGTCAGGATAGCGAACGATGGATAATTACTAGCCAAATTAATCACGGAACACAGGGATCTGATCATCTTTTTTTTAAAAATAAGTTTCAGTTCCACTGCTAAACAAGAAATTATGTTATGTGTTTTGGGTTCAGATTAAACTGATTACAAAATTTAACCTCCTCCCCACCTCCCCTAATTAGATCATGAATAACACAACACGAACCCATTAATGATACCCATATGTAGACTGTTGTCCAAATATACACAGGGGAACCGATTCACATGTCACAAATTATCAGGAATAGCACAGACAATGGCTTCAGTTGACAAGTGTTCCGTTTATTGTAAAGATAACTGCGAAACTACTTCCATTTCTATACAACAGTAAGGTTAAAGTTCAAAGTCAAATAATATGTTGTGATGTTTCCCCAAAATATAATACGTTAACTCTCCTACGTTATGTGTAGACACGGCCACTAAACATTGGGATACGTATATTACCAATAATTCAATATAGGGATATTTTAGTTCCAATGTTCCAGCATTAACGGATTAACAGTAAGATAGCTATAGGTATCGAAAAAAGGTGTGGAGGAAGTTCTGTAGAAATAAAGTCAAACCTTTGGATGATGCAGCTGGATTTAGCACCCGCTTAACGTTGTGTGTCTATTGATTTTATCATGCAGAAATGCTGTATACCTATAAGATGACGTCACCAAGGGAGGAGGTCGTCACTCTGGAGATTCTGGACACCGCGTCAGAGGTATGAAGTTGTTTTTGTAACATTTTTCTGTATCTCTGAATATCCACGTGATAACTTGGTGTCAAACTACTTACAGTCAGATCTGAATGTGCTACCTTCAGTGAATATTTAATAAACTAGATCATTCGTCTTTCAATTATCTCACTACTGACGATAATACAGAAGGCATGCACTACTAGTAAGTGACAAAGTTTAGTTGCAACATCACCGTAATGTTAAGTGTGACATTTTACACCTGTGATACGTCACACAGTGTGTATAGTGTCGTGGTAGGCCGATAAAGGCATCGTTTAACATCTAGTCTTGGAGCGTTGACAGTTCTGATTGTAGATGATATTTTCAGTACAAAGATTCTTCATTTGTATAAGGATTTTATTCTTTTGTTTGTGTGCCACAGTGTAACCCAGATGATACAGAGAAGAACCTGAAATGGGCGGATGGATACGTAATGATATTCTCGGTAACGGACATGCCCAGTTTCCACGAGGTGAAACGCCTCAAGGATAGTTTATTCCGCCTGAAAGGAAATGAAAGACCTATGGTTCTTATTGCAAACAAACTAGACCTGCGCGACGCTAGGACGGTGAGTGAGGCGGAAAGTACATCACTTGCCCATTCTCTTGAGTGTCCATTGTTTGAACTCTCAGTGGCGGATGGATATCAGGGTGTAGCGGATGCAATGGAAGAACTAATTGTACAGTTGCGGAGGGATTTTGTAAAATGTCAAAGTGCGGCAAATGTCAGTACCAACACTGACAAGCCTCGTTCTAAATTATACAACATGAAAAAAGTTCTGAAGAAAAGAATAGGCCGTAGCCATAGTGATACGTTTTAATTTTTATACATACCATCAGCCGTAAACTTCCGCTTTGTTACATATCAGGTCTTCTTACTTTCAAAATGAAAACACTAATTTCACATTACATCATCTTTGCTCAAACATGACCTGGCATTATTGGCACTCATCTCCACATGACTTTGGTTAATAGCTTTTTTTACACTTGCCTCCTTCCTGAAAACGGTGCGATAACCTCACAATGTTTGTACTAATCCCTGCCTGATGACGGTATTAAAATCTAATATTTTTTGTATTATCCTTACATTGTTTGTACTCACTCCCTACCTGACCAAATATAAGGGCCATGAATTATATGTAGACCCTCCCTAACTGACCACAATATTATATCCTTACATTGTGTGTAACTACTCCCTACCTGACCACGGTATTATATCCTTACATTGTTTGTACTCCCTCCCTACCTGACCACGGTATAATATCCTTACATTGTGTGTACTCCCTCCCTACCTGACCACGGTATTATATCCTTACATTGCTTGTATTCACTCCTACCTGACCACGGTATTATATCCTTACATTGTTTATACTTACTCCCTACCTGACCACGGTATTATATCCATACATTATTTGTACTCACTCCCTACCTGACCAAATACAAGGGCCATGAATTATATGTAGACCCTCCCTAACTGACCACAATATTATAGCCTTACATTGTTTGTACTCACTCCCAACCTGACCACGGTATTATATCCTTACATTGTTTGTACTCCCTCCCAACCTGACCACGGTATTATATCCTTACATTGTTTGTACTCCCTCCCTACCTGACCACGGTATTATATCCTTACATTGTTTGTACTCACTCCCTACCTGACCACGGTATTATATCCTTTCATTGTTTGTACTCCCTACCTGACCACGGTATTATAGCCTTACATTGTGTGTACTCCCTCCAAACCTGACCACGGTATTATATCCTTACCCTGTGTGTACTCCCTCCCTACCTGACCACGGTATTATATCCTTACATTGTGTGTAACTACTCCCTACCTGACCACGGTATTATATCCTTACATTGTTTGTACTCACTCCCTATCTGACCACGGTATTATATCCTTACATTGTTTGTACTCCCTCCCAACCTGACCACGTTATTATATCCTTACATCGTTTGTACTCCCTCCCTGCCTGACCACGGTATTATATCCTTCCATTATTTGTACTCACTCCCTACCTGACCACGGTATTATATCCTTTCATTGTTTGTACTCCCTACCTGACCACGGTATTATATCCTTACCCTGTGTGTACTCCCTCCCTACCTGACCACGGTATTATATCCTTACCCTGTGTGTACTCCCTCCCTACCTGACCACGGTATCATATCCTTACATTGTTTGTACTCCCTCCCTGCCTGACCACGGTATTATATCCTTCCATTATCTGTACTCCCTCTCTACCTGACCACGGTATTATTGCCTGATATTGTCAGTCATCACTCCTCACCTGACCACCGTGCTATAGTGCAGCGCGTGTACTCCCTCCCCACCTGACCACGTTAAACTAAGCTGATCATTTGTACTCAGTACACTGTACCTACCTGACAACGGGTTTGTAATCCTGAGAGATCGTCCACACTCCCACAACACAAAAAAATTCGATCTATAAATTATGAAATTTGACAAATGCTTTGACTTAATTAGAAAAAAGAATAGTACTTCAATATAAAATCATAACCTAGATATCCTAGTCACGGCACCACTTTAGTAATACAAAGAAAACTCACCAAGCCATACTGTGATTAGAACTAGGATTTCTTCGTCAATTACTCCCTTTATCCAAAAGCATTTAACAAAGAAATGTAAATGTGTTGGTCACATCGAATCGTCGTTATGGTAACCGGTCGGGTTAACCATACAATGCGCGACTACATTTTCATTTTTTAAATTCATGACAAATCGTCCTAAAATTAAACACAAGACTTCTTGACAATAACGTTTTGTTTAAAATCATTTAACTGATCCAGGCAACAGACGCTAGCTCGTGTGATGTCATTATGAGACCAGAAATAAGCAGTCATTAATTGTATTTCTATTGAAAGGAAACATCTTGTTTTTTTCATAAACACGTGTTAATATGTTTACAGATGATCAACATAATTAAGTAAGACTTAGTATGAAAACAAACTAAACTAGACGAGAAAAAACATATTGTCTCGCACGAGATCATCAAATTCTAGTATTGAACACAAACGATGATAAATTATATAGTACGAGAAGGTTATGTTTCAGTGAAATAAAGATCAAGATCTTCAGAAGGTTGGTTTTGTTTCGTTATTATTGATGTTATTATCATTATTATGTTGTTGTTGGTGATGTTTTCAAGAATGACACAGAAATTGTATTTCGTCAATGTTTACCAAGAAAGATAACTCTTGTTAAATTATAGTGATGTGTACCGTAATTCAACCAGACATTAATTGAATCTATCGCTTTTAAATCGTTCTCAATATTTCTAAATATAGACGATAATTTAAATTATATACCATGTGAGACATTTAAATGAAAAGAATTGTGAGACGTTAATCATCATGTGATCGGTAGTTAAATTTCTTCAGCAATAAAGTGTTTGTTGGATATTCAGATATTTAAATATTTTAAGTGTAATGTTCCCGTGTTTCGGTTATAACTAGTGGACTGGAATAACGGAGTATAAAGCGCCAACAGTCTCCTGTGTAACGACCGTATACTGCCGCAAACGAGGGTCTTACATTGTAAGATAAAACGAAGTCAGGATAACGAAGATGTTACAGACTGAGAGCCTAATTAGTCAGTGCCGAGTCACGATAATATTTCTAAAGATTCACAATTTCAAGACATTCTACCAAAACGTACATTACGATGCAGCTTTTGTAAAACACAATGCTATGGTAGAGTACAGTACGGTACTGTTATGGTAGGCTACATTGCGGTACTGCTATGGTAGAGTACATTGCGGTATTGCTATGGTAGAGTACATTGCGGTACTGCTATGGTAGAGTACAGTGCGGTACTGCTATAGTAGGTAACATTGCGGTACTGCTATGGTAGAGAACATTGCGGTACTGCTATGGTAGAGTACATTGCGGTACTGCTATGGTAGAGTACATTGTGGTACTGCTATGGTAGAGTACACTGCGGTACTGCTATGGTAGAGTACATTGTGATACTGCTATGGTAGGGAACACTGCGGTACTGCTATGGTAGAGTACATTGCTGTACTGCTATGGTAGAGTACATTGCGGTACTGCTATAGTAGATAACACTGCGGTACTGCTATGGTAAAATACATTGCGATACTGCTATGGTAGAGTACACTGCGGTACTGCTATGGTAAAGTACATTGCGGTACTGCTATGGTAGAGTACATTGCGGTACTGCTATAGTAGATTACATTGCGGTACTGCTATGGTAGAGTACATTGCGGTACTGCTATAGTAGATAACACTGCGGTACTGCTATGGTAGAGTACATTGCGGTACTGCTATGGTACACTGCGGTACTGCTACGATAAAACGTATTTAACAAAGATAATTCAATGATATAATCTTCATTGATATGTGAATACCACACATGAGTTTGTATAGTCAAAATCGGATTATTACCTTTCAGAAACTAACAAAGACAGAAAAAAGTTCATTTTAGCCATTTACTTGCTATAAGTACTTTGTAAGAATGTTTTGTCAAATATCGGAAAGGGAGGTACCAGGCTTCTCTATCAAACGTCATCCCTGTTGCCTACCTATCCATTACATGTATCAGAGATTCTACCAAGCGTCGATTCCTTCCTCTACACGTCCATTACATGTATCAGAGATTCTACCAAGCGTCGATTCCTTCCTCTACACGTCCATTACATGTATCAGAGATTCTACCAAACGTCGACCCTTTCCTCTACACGTCCATTACATGTATCAGAGATTCTACCAAACGTCGATTCTTTCCTCTACACGTCCATTACATGTATCAGAGACCCTTTCCTCTACACCATTAAACGTCGATTCTTTCCTCTACACGTCCATTACATGTATCAGAGATTCTACCAAACGTCGACCCTTTCCTCTACACGTCCATTACATGTATCAGAGATTCTACCAAACGTCGACCCTTTCCTCTACACGTCCATTACATGTATCAGAGATTCTACCAAACGTCGACCCTTTCCTCTACACGTCCATTACATGTATCAGAGATTCTACCAAACGTCGACCCTTTCCTCTACACGTCCATTACATGTATCAGAGATTCTACCAAACGTCGACCCTTTCCTCTACACGTCCATTACATGTATCAGAGATTCTACCAAACGTCGACCCTTTCCTCTACACGTCCATTACATGTATCAGAGATTCTACCAAACGTCGACCCTTTCCTCTACACGTCCATTACATGTATCAGAGATTCTACCAAACGTCGACCCTTTCCTCTACACGTCCATTACATGTATCAGAGATTCTACCAAACGTCGACCCTTTCCTCTACACGTCCATTACATGTATCAGAGATTCTACCAAACGTCGACCCTTTCCTCTACACGTCCATTACATGTATCAGAGATTCTACCAAACGTCGACCCTTTCCTCTACACGTCCATTACATGTATCAGAGATTCTACCAAACGTCGACCCTTTCCTCTACACGTCCATTACATGTATCAGAGATTCTACCAAACGTCGACCCTTTCCTCTACACGTCCATTACATGTATCAGAGATTCTACCAAACGTCGACCCTTTCCTCTACACGTCCATTACATGTATCAGAGATTCTACCAAACGTCGACCCTTTCCTCTACACGTCCATTACATGTATCAGAGATTCTACCAAACGTCGACCCTTTCCTCTACACGTCCATTACATGTATCAGAGATTCTACCAAACGTCGACCCTTTCCTCTACACGTCCATTACATGTATCAGACGTCCATTACATGTATCAGAGATTCTACCAAACGTCGACCCTTTCCTCTACACGTCCATTACATGTATCTACCAAACGTCGACCCTTTCCT